CGCAGTGGGCTGGGGCGGCACGCGGACAGCCCCCTTATATCGCCTCCCCAACCCCCGCACTGGGCAGTGACGCAGGCCGGGCCGGGGGCGCAGGGTCACCTCCCCCCCAGGCTCATTAGGAGCCACTGGCGGTAATGAGGAACCGGGGGTGGGGGCCCTGCTGCTGCTTGGCCGCCACCAACTAATTGGGACCATGAGCTGGGACCTGAGAAGAGGGAGGGGAAGCGACAGAGGTGGTCACAGTGGGTGTGTCAGAGGGATAAAAATAGAGGCTGTGGAGCGACCATGAGAGCACAAGTCAGAGACACAGAGAGAGACGGAAAACATGAGAGAGGAAGCAGTAGTGACAGCAAGAGAGACAAAGGGAAGGGATAAGCAGGAGAGGGAGGACAAAGACAGAAGGAAGGGAAGGGATTCAGAAAGGGAACAGCCAGCAGGAAAGGAAAAGAGGAGAGAGAGGCAGAGAGGAAAGGCTCTCAGACAGACAGACAGAGAAAGGACAGCAGCCCAGAGCACAGGCCCACGCACAGCACAGGAGGAAGCGCAGACTGGAGAGCTGGGGACGGAGACAGGGCAGGCCTGTACAGACAGGTGACGACAGGCAAACTCAAAAAGCCAGAAAGCCTGGGACAGACCGAGAAGTGGGGGCACAGACAAGGACCCTGAGTTCTGGGCGGGACTTGGGACATTGTGACAATAAAGCACAATTCATACACTGACTCTCATGAGGTTTTTGGTTGTTTTTTGTTTGTTTCATTTTGAGACTGGGTCTGACTATGTAGTTCAAGCTGGCCTTGAACTCACAATGCTCCTCCTGCCTCAGCCTCCTGAGTGCTGGGATGACAGGCTTGAGACCCCACACCAAAAAGGAGACTTCTACACACAGTGGGGATGTGGGGCAAAGGTCAGAAGCCCTGAAGGGTAGGAGCAGCCTGGGCCATGGGAACCTGGACTTCTAGTTCCCGAGGGGAAGAGGCAGAGCTCGGACTCCTAAATGTGAGAGTGGCTGAGACAAGGGTCCAGGGACCTGGGGCTGGAGAAGGAGGGGCCAGATACCTGGACTCGTGTCTGGAAACAGAAAGGGCTGGAGGCCCAGACTCCTGGGTCTGAACAGAGGGGACTCTGGACTGAGGCTCAGGGCAACTACAGTAGGAAGGGTCTGGAAGGAGAGGACAGGGGACCCTTGGTTTCAAAGATGGTTTGTGTGGGCGACATCTGTCCCCACACCATCCAGTTCCGAACTCCCTTCTCCACCCCAGAGGCAGTGCCCTTCATCTCTGGCCCTTTAAGAGCCTCAGTGCGTTGCTAGGCTCCCAGGGTCCCCAGGGAGGGGGTCAGGTGCGTCACCTGTGCACCTATGGGACCCTCTGCTGCCCCGCCCGGAGCCAGTCTGCAGCGTTCACCTGTGTCTGTATCCAGCTCCGTTCACTGCTGCTTCCTTGGACCTCCCTGAGCAGGTAGGAGACCCTAAGTACCCAGCAACGTTGTCCCATACAGGCGTCTATGGCCTCCACCTCCATCTTCCCACAGACCGTGCATGAGCTTAGAACAGCTCCGGGACACGGAGTCTGCTCCATCCTCACTAAACAGGGAGCCCAGGGTTCCCACCCCACACCGGGCTGGGCTGCGGAGTCCAGGCCCCCGCTTCTGGAGGACCCAGGACTCAGGGATTCCAAACGCCTAACTCAGGGCTCAGAATCAAGACCCAGCCCCACCTCTCCCGGGCTTACTGCTTGGAAAGCGTGGACAACTGAACATCCAGGTTCTTAAGAATCCGGGACGTAGATGCTCAGCCCCTCTCCCTAGTGGCCCCGGCGTCTGAACCCCCAGCAGCCTTCATACCATGAGCCCAGCTCTTCCTCCTGAGCCTTCTCTAGTGTAAACAACCTCAGTCCAGGTGTCCTGGGGGCCCTGGGAGAGGAAGGTGACCCCTGTCCCCTAGAGGTCTGACACCCTGCAAAGCTGCAGTCCAGGATTTGTGAGGGCTTGGAAAGATACACTTTTTCCAATTTTTCTGGAACCCCTCAGGGGAACAAGGAAATTATCTGCACCTCCCAAGAAGCTGGTGCCCCTGAGTCTCTCCCTTCCCTACTGCCCCCCCCACAAACTCGGACGGTTGCAGAGGGGCCCTGCGTCCTTCCCTGGCGCGAAGCTGGGCCCCGACGGACAGGTCCACCTGGGAACCAACTGGTGCAGAGGGACCTCCGGGCGGGCGGGGCCTCCGGGTGGGCGGGGCCTAGCTGGTGGACGGGACTCCGGGAGGCTTTGGTTTTAACCCCTCCGTCCCTTTTTCCCCCTCACAGCTAGAGGAATCGCCCAACACTATGAAATCCTTCAGTCCGATCCTTTTCCTTCTGGTCTTCCTCCATTCCCTCCTGGGCTCTCAGGCCGCACCTTCAGCCCCTCTGCCCCTGGGCTCTGACGTTCAGGGGATGGGTCACCCTGCAGCGACCTTCCCTGGCGCTTCTGAAAACGCCACTGGAGAAGGCCCTAACCCGCAATTCCCTGCGACTATTCGTCCTGAGCCCTCCAAGATGCCTCGTGCAGTTTACCCTGAGACCACCGCTCTTGATTTCACTGAGACCCCCGGGCCTGATCTGGAAACCCCACAGCCCCAGTCTCCTGACACCCCCCAGCCTGACCCGTTCACCACCTCAGTATCAGAATTCCCGGACAGCCCCCACACTAACTGCTCCAAAGCGACACACCCAGAGCCTTCTGGGACCCCCGACCCTGCCCCGACAGACCCTCCACACCCTGGATCCTCTGACACCCCAAAACCTAGTCCCTCAAAAGTGACACTCCCAGAAAATCCTGAGACCCCAAATGCTAACTCTATGCAGACCACACACCAAGAATCCGCAAAGATCCTCAGACTTAACACCCCTGAAATCTCACATGTTAAAAGCCCTGACCCCACCAAGCCTCTTGACACCAAATCTCTAGAAGCCAGTGATGCTGGCACAACTGAGACCCCAAGCTCTCACTTCCCCCTGAACGTTCATCCTGACCCCACTGAAATCCTCCACCTAGAGGCCCACGAGAACCCTAACCCCAGCCCCACCAAAACTCCCCAAGCAGAGCTCCCCACAGCCCACCACCAGGATGCAACCAAGATCCCCCAAACCTCCGTCCTTGAAGTCTCCACTAGTCTGCACCCAGAAACCGCTGGGCCCCTCAGGGATGCAGCCACTGCCCTCAGTGAGCTGCGCCCGAGTCCCCAGGCAGACACCCTCGCGGCCACCCAGCCTGACCCCTCTCAACTGCCCACCTCAGACTCGCCAGGGTCCCTTGAGCCAAAGGCCCCCCAAAACTCGGACCCCAAAAGGCAGAGCACCCCACTGGCCTCAGCCCGGATTGTGGGCCCCCCTGCTCCTCCAGAGCCACCCAGTCAGCTGCTCCCCGCAATTCCCCGGGCTCCCCAGCGGCGCGGGCGAGGCGAGAGAGTGAACACTATCATCGTGGTGGAGCACGTGAAGGAGACCGGTGAGGGCCGGACCGGGTCTGAGGGCGGAGGGCGGAGGGGGCTGGGATCTTAAATCACCGGGCTCCTCCCTCAGGCGTGACTCTCGTGGGGCGCCCACGCGGCTCGACTGGAGGGGCCCTGTGCCTGTTCTTTGCTGGGACCGGGCTTTTGATCTGCATCTTTCTGCTGCTGTGGTGTCTCTACCGGCGGGCAGCCCGACACCGGCCCTTCGCACACCACCGGCTCCCGGACAGCGGAGACGAGCCGGGTGAGTGCTGTGTTCCCTTGCAGACCCTCCTGTTTCCTCATCCTGATCGCTGGACACTTTCTGGAGCCCAGAACCGCACGGCTGCCGGCTGACCCACCCACCCCAAGAGAGCGCGCCCGCCCGTCCCGGGGCTTCTCCCCGGCCAGAGGCCTGGCCCCGAAGGCCCGGTCAGCTGGGGGTGACCCCTCCCCTTTGCTCCCACAGTTATGCACCTGGATGCCCCGAAGGACCCCTGCGACCTCTACTTTTATGCGCCGGATGCCTGGGTGCCTTCGCACATCTCCACCAAGCAGCCGCCGCCCACACCGCCGCTGCCACCCAAGCTGCCCCCGCCTCCCCGCGGGGGACGCCCCCAGCGCCTGGAGCCGCTGTCCCCTGATACGCTCCCCAACAACTTCGTGTGAGCCCCTTTCGGTCCCTCCAGGCCTGCACACTCTTCTTAGTGAATCTCTTGGATATAGCGTCCAGCACGGATGTTTTCCTGGTGATTGCAGAACACCGCTGAATAAACCCGATGCTCCCATGGCTACGCCTCCGCTGGCCTGGGGTTGGGGGGCTGGGTCCTACTGAGATCTAGTCTGCTAGGGTTGACTTCCTCTTTGGGGAAAGGAAGGGGCTAGGGGATGAGAGGCCTGGTCTGAGGGAGGAGGCCGGGCCCAGCATTCCCGCGCCCCTAGTCAGTGACCACTCAGTGTACACCAGAGCATTTTATTGGGAGTGGGGCTGGGCAGGATTTACAGTCACAGAGACAGAGACATCAAGACACAGTCCTGCCCGAGGATAAACACCCCTCTCCCCAGCCCCTTCTCTGTCCTGGGATTGTGTCTTCTACGTATGTTCCCAAATTCTAGGCTGAAAGAGGGTTGTGTGAGAGGGGAAGAACCTCAGACTTTGAAGTCATTTAGCCCCTTAGGGACACAACAAATGGCCACTGAGAAGCTGAGGGCAGTCTGAAACCACCCGGGTGAATAAAGTGCAAGGAACTGGGCAGAAGAGGGGCATCTCGAAACCACCAGGGGGAAGTTCAATAGCGGTGGCTTCAAACCACTGAATTAATAGACTTGAGCAGCCACTATGTAGACCTGAAGATTGTATCAGAGAAAGTGCATGGGGTAGAGAGGCATATAGTTAAAACAGCTGTTTTGGTTGTTTCCCCTAGGCATGGCACAAAGCTAGGGACAAGATGGGGGAATCTGGTGCTTCAGCAGAACCTGCTGGGGGAGGGGGGCTTGAAACCGCCATTTTCCCTCAGAAACGCTGGTGAGAATCAATCCCTGGAATGGCGGGGATGAGTGATCGGTTAACCTAACCTGGGAGATGCAGAACAGAGTCAGGAGAGATCTGGAACTTCTAGAAGAGGACCTTGAATTTTTCTGAGAGGGGGGGCTGAGTAATCTCAGGGATGGCCTTGAAATTCCTTGGGTTGGGGGGAATGGGGGTGCTGAGTAATCTCAGGGATCAGCCTGAGAATCCCTGGGGTCGGAGGAAAGGAGGAGTTGCCTCAAAATCACAACAGCACAAGGTTGGACTGTCCATTCAAATAAAGCCCTGAAAGGAGAGATTTGAAACCACTGAGGCAGCACAAATGGAGAAAGGAAACTTTAGGGGAATCTGGGTATCCTTGAAACCACCAGACTGTGGCTTCCCTACCCCTGAGAGAAGTTAGGAAGGGAAAAGTTGTGACATCACTGGGATGGAGGGAGAGTGCTTCTTAGGCCTGAGGCAGAACAGAGAGGACTGGGGTCCCCTGACACCATCACTCAGGCCAGAGATGTATGGAGTGGAGGTCCTGGAAACTGCCATTCAGTGGGAGGCACATGGTCAGTAGTCCCGGACAGGGGGTGGGGGCCTCGGGGGCTGAACAGTGCTGTGTGTAGCCCCATAGGAAGGAGGCGGGGCAGGGGGAGCCCCAGGGGGCTCAGCCTCATCCTCCATTTCACTCTCATCACTGCCAGCCAGCTGGTCGTGGCCCACGAAGCCACACTTCTCCTCACTCATCTCCTCCGGCTCGGCCCACGGCTGCTTCTCTCCGGAAGCGAAGACCCCATAGAAGATGACGCCCCCGTAGTGCACCAGGGAGGCGATGAGGAACACGTACTGCCACTCCTCCCGCGTCTGTGGGGGACCACAGGGATGGGGTCAAGGAAGGGGACAGGGAGGCTGGTGCCGCGGTGCTGGCGGGCGCCCACCTTGTGCTTGGTCATGGCCCCCACGATGATGGGGCAGACCATGCCCGACAGCGTGCCCACGCCGTTGGAGATGCCCATGAGGATGCTGGCGTAGCGAGGCGCGATGTCCAGGTGGTTGACGTTGAACCCTGGCAGGAGAAAGGCAGGCGGCGTCACACTGGGGTCCCCTGATGCCCTCTTGTGGGTACACTTTTGCGAGGCAGAAGCCCCATCCTAGGCTGACTAGAGCCCCCAACTGCAGATCTGCGCTTCTCACCCGAGATGGCGAAGCCGCTGAAGCCCACGGCGAGAACCAGGAAGGAGATGGCGACGCCCTTGGAGTGCGAGTAGCCGACCACCAGCAGCAGCGTGGCTTCCATGCCGAAGCCTGCGGAGCGCGAACTACTGAGCGCCCCCGTCCTAGCCCCGCCCCTACCCGCCAACCCCGCCCACGACAACTGAGCCGGCCCGCTGGGGATCCAGGACCCGACCCCGATCTGTGCAACTTCTCACCTTTCCTCTCTGCTCCCACTTAGCAGGTGGCTCGTCCCCTCAAGACCCCAACTCACGGCCCCTCTTTCTCCCTAGTCCGTTCCCCGCTCCGATCAGCCCGGTGCTGGCCTCTCACCCTTACATCCTCAGCCCAGTCAAGCCGTAAACTCAGCCGGATGCCCGGCTTTGTGCTCCGTGCAGCCCCGCCCTCACTCTGCCTCTGTCCAATTAGCTTCACCCTTGGCCAGGGCTCTGACCACTCCCCACACCCTCGGCCGGCCTATTGGTTATGCCCCTAGGCGCGCTACTACGCCCAGGCGGAACCAGGCCAATTGCAGCCCCGCCCGGGCCACGCCCACTCACCTCCGCAGTTCATCAACTTGCGCACGTTGGTGGTGGACATGATGCGGCGGCTCCGCAGGAAGTCGGCGATCTGGCCGCCTATGGGCACGATGATTGTCATGACCAGGTGAGGCAGCGCCGACACCAAGCCGACCTGCAGGAGCACGGTACAGATTTGCGGGGAGGGCCTCAGGGCCACCACTCAGGCCCCGCTCCCGTCTCCTCTCCTCCTGCTGGGCCCTACCTTGCTAATCTCGAAGCCGAACACTTCTTCAAAGTAGGCGGGCTGGGAGATGAGGAGCAGGTAGAACGTCCAGCTGCGGCAGAAGTTGGCCACGATGATGGCATAGACCGGCATGGACGTGAAGAAGCGGCGCCAGGGCGTGTTAAACTTCTGGGGGTGGAAGGGGCGGCTGAGACGGAGCCCAGGGCTGGGGAGTCTCCAGGTCCCTTGGGGGCCTCACTAGACACGCGCAAAGACCCAGTGACTCTGATCTCATTGAGACTTTAGGGATACAAGGGCGTCGGCCACATCACATCCCAGGCAGTGTCACGTCCGTGACAGTTCAGGGATGCAGGGCTGGGGTCTAGCTCACAGTGACCCTCGAGTTTGAGGGTGTCCGGGCCCCACAGGAACCCATAAACGTGAGCCCAGGAGTCTTTTTCTATTCAATCATGCAGCCTCACTCACCCTAAGAAATAGCAAGTCCCCATTGGCTGTTATTTGAGACAGGGTCTCCCTATGTGTACCAGGCTGGCCTTGCATTCACTATGCAGTCCAGACTGGCCTGGAATTCGTGGCGATCCTGCGGCCTCAGCCTCCTGAGTGCTGGGATCACAGGTGTGCGCCCCATGTCCAGCCACATTCTGATCCCCACATTCTAATCCGGTCTCTTCTGCTTTTAACCACGCCTCCTCCGTGCTTCTAATTTCACCCGCCCCTGCCAAGCTCTCTTCCACCGCGCGCTATGGGGCTCTCAGATTCTGCCCCCCACCCCGCGGATCCAGTGCTGTCTTTTCTGAGAACCTGCAGGAATCCGCAGGGATGCAGGCTCGAGCCCCGCAATCCCTCCGGCCCCGCCCCGCCCCGCAGACTCCGCCCCGGACCGTGAGGGGGTTCATGAGCTTGGCGCTCTCGCCGATGGCGTCCTCAATGTACTTCCGCTCCTCCTCGGAGATGCTGGGGTGCAGGGCGGGGGATTCGTAAGAGACGAGCAACCAAAACAGGTACCAGAAGATCCCGAAGCTGCCTGAAGGGGGTCAGCAGGGGGACGGGAGCCGGGTGACGACAGGTCCCTCTCCGCCCAGAGCCACCTAGTAACAGGCGTCTGGGTTCCTCACCGTAGACGTAGAAAACAGAGCTCCACCCGGAATACTGCACCAGGACCCCGGCGAGAGGCATCGCCACCACTGCCCCAGCGTAGGAACCTGAGCGGGGCGAGGTGGACAGAGAACGCGCCCATCTTCCCTGGATCCTGGAATAAGGACCCCCAGCCCTCGCCTTTCTAGGACAGAGGCACAGGCCACAGCTGCTTTCCTCACTCGCGGGAAACTATGCCCCTCTCCTTCCCTCTCACCGCAAAAGGCTGTCGTCGCCAGGCGACTGCGTTCTAAAGGTGGGGCCCATTTGCTCCAGATCCCGTGGCACGCTGGGTATGTGACCCCCTGGGAAGGAGAAACCCAAGTTAACCGGAAGAGGCGGGGTCAGGGGGCGGGCCAGGCACGAGAGGCGGGGCTTTACCTCTACCAACCCCTGCAGGATCCTCACGAAGATAACACAGCCGTAGTGGACACGAGCGGCCGACGGGATCAACATGTTTAGAGTGGAGGTGGCCACAATGGCAAAGCCGAAAACTCTGATTCGAAGGTGGGAGAAAGGGGTCCAGCTATCTCGCCGTCCCTGGGATTCTGCCCTTCCCACTACTCCACCTCCTCGGTGACTCCCCCTAACACAATCGCAAGCTCCGCCCCCAACACAGCTCCTCGCCTCACCTCGAAATCAAACCCACCCAATTCGCGCTCACACTAACTCCACCCACAAAACGGTAGCTCCCGCCCACCTTGATATCCCCACCATGGTACCTTACCTGTTGGCTGCGAATTTTTGGCAGATAAATCCTCCAGGAATCTGAGTGACAATGTAGCCCCAAAAAAAGGAGCCATGTATGAGGCCGACAGTCTCTGGATCCCAAGAGAACTGGGCTTTCTGTGGACCAAAAGGCTTATTAAACCAGCCGCCCTGCCTAAACTCTGCCCTCCACCAATCAGTAACCCTAGATGTGGCACCTCAGCCAATCAGCCACAATGAATTCCCTCAGGTCTCCGAAACACCTGCCAATCAGGGCTCGCACCATCCCATTGTCAGAGTGGACCAACTGCTCTTCATGTTGCTAGGTCCAGTGCTACTACTTAATTAACAACAAGGCCTGTGGCTGCCTCAAAGCCTGCTGTGGCCTGCTTCCTTGCCTAAGGACCCCCTCCCTGACTGTCCCGGGGCCCATGTGCAGGATGGCTCTCTTTTTCCACTTCTCTCCAGTTTATGAATTATCCCCAGGTAGGGTTAAGGCAGGGATGAGAATAGGATTCATGTAGAATCCAAGAGTGTGGCTTCTACACTACTGAATTTACGAGTAGAAATTCTGGGATGAGAAAGGGCTTTGGGAGGCCAGAGCAGGAGGGTGTAGCTTGGGTGACGGTGGAGTTTCAGAAAAGTCAGGGTCAGCCTGGCACACACCTGTAATCCCGCCTACCCGGGAGGCTGAGGCAGGAGGCCGGCTGGATCATTTAGCAAGACACTGTCTCAAATCAAAAAGGGCTAGGGATGTAGCTCAGCAGTGGAGCGCTTGTTTAGCACGCGCGAAGCCCTGGGTTCCATCCTCAGTACTTCCAACAGGAAGGAGGGATCAAAATGCAGGGATTGGGATTGGGATTAAGTTGATGTGACCCAGGGACCTGAGCGTGGGGACACAGGCCTCAAATAAATAACTGGTAAGGCCAGGTGTGGTGGCGCACGCCTGTAATCCCAGCACTCGGGAGGCTGAGGCAGGAGGATCGCTGCGAGTTCGAGACCAGCCTGGGCTACATAGTGAGTTCCAGGTCAGTCTCAACTACATAGTGAGACCAATAAATAAATAAATAAATAAATAAATAAATAATGGTAGATTCAAAATGGAATGGAAGGGCCGGGGATTTAGTTCAGTGGCACCATGCCTGCCTCACAAGCACAAGGTCGTGAGTTCGACCCCCAGTACCAAAAACAAAACAAACAAAATGGAACGGAAGTTAACACATAGGGCACCTAATGCTGGGACAGTCTTCATTTCTAAAGAACTAAAAATAGGGGCGGTGCTCATTTAGGTCAGGGCCGAGCTTAAGAAGGGAGGAGCCGGAGGTGAGGTCCGAGATGAAGGGCAGAGAGGGTGGGCGGGGCCACGAGGCGGGGAGGGGAAGGCGTGGCCCGGGCGGTGTCGGGGCTAGAGTGACGTCAGCGGGACGGGCGGGGCTCCGCCAGCAGCTACCTGCACCACCACGTGTCCCCCGCGGTGGGTCGTGCTGTTGTTGACCATGGAGACGATGGCCACGCCCAGGTTGCAGCGGATGCCGAAGCTGATGCAGAAACCCAGACCACTCATGATGGCGATAATGTAGCGGCGAGGGAGGCCAAAGCAGGTGCAGTCCACCACCGGGGGGTCCCGGGTCTGCGTCGTCACCGGGCGCCCGTCGGCGCTCAGCTCCAGAGTCTCCGCACCTTCTTGCCGCTTCTCCAGGAGGCTGCGGCGAGAGTCTAGGACTCAGCAGGCCAGGGCCCCGGGCCGCCTCTCCCGCGACACAGGAGTCCATGGCAAACCCTCCTGCTCTTCGAGACCCAGAGGTCTATGTCGACAGCCTCATCCGACCCAGAAGCCCGGGTCCCTAGCTGTCCTCTCCTCCCAGGACCCAGGAATCTTGACCCCCAGGCCCACCTCCCTCGGACCAGGAAATCAGGATCCCGGCCCGCTTTCTCTCCAGTCCTGTCATCACTGGCTTTGGGATCCAGAGCCTGCGCCCCCAGCCCCCGCCTCTGATCCCAGTCTATTTGAGGAAGCAAAAGGTGCTAGAGAGGCCTCGGCGAAGGTGTCAGAAGAACAGCTGCTTCCCAGCCGGTCTGCTATGCACACACCGCTCCTGCGCTGCCCCCAGGGCAAGCCCTGCCCGCTGCGAGCCAGGTGTGGGGCTGCCATCAGCTGACACCTCCGAGGCCACCGAAGCCCATTCCTGGGACGCGGGGTGGGGACAGGGCAGTGGGCGCAGGAGTCCGGCAGCCCAGCCCGGGCAGCCCTGGGGAACCGGAGTTCAGGCTGTCAGCCTAGGGGGCAGGGAGGGAGGGCGGCGGGAGGTGTCCTGGCAGGGGACAGATGGCCCTGCCAGGGAGATCGGCTCGTTCCCCAGCGTGCCTCTCGCCCCAGCCTGTGCTGCGTGCAGGATGGAGCCTGAGGTGGTGGATGGGGCACTTGGAGGCCACCTCAGACCCAGGGAAAAGCTAAGGAGAGGGGGGGGCTGTAGGGAAAGGAGGGTGACAGAGACAGGGTGCTCCAGGAGACCCACAGAGACACAAAAGGAGGGAGAGATGGGGGAGCCCCAAGGGAGACTGAAACCCAAAAAGAGTGGGACAGCGACCCAGAGAGGAGCACAGACCCGGGGGAGACAGGCAGAGATGCAGAGAGGTGGGAAGACTAAACCGCAAGACGGACACAGATGCAGAGGGAGGGCAAGAGCCCCAACGCGCTGAAAGATGGAGAGATGAGGAGACAAGGGGGAAGCAGGCTGGGGACAGGATGTGCGAGGCGTAGCCCGCCCCGAGGCGGGGAGGCAGCCAGGGTATCGGGCTGGAGCCCAGGAAGGGGCTGGAACAGATGGAGGCGAGGGAGACTGGGACGGGGGAGGAAAGAACAGCCAGACGGCCTGGGGGGAGGGAGGTGGGCGGGATGCAACACACAGCCGCCCCTCCCCACCCAGGACGTGAGCGGGGGAGCCCGGGGAGGAGGGACAAGACCCCTGAGCGGGGCACAGAGGCAGAGGGAGAATGGAAGCCACCGGAATGAGGCCCATAGGGGAACAGGGACTCCCCTCAGGCTCCTGTCAGAATATGTTGGCCAATGAGATTAACCTGTGTGTGGCCCACACTGCTATCAATGACACTGAGCCTGAAACTTAAGTGATGGCAGCCCCTGGAGCTTGGTGTTCACTGCTCATGAGCTGGGGTCTCAGAATTCCACATCCATGGAATGGGGGCCAGAGGAGACATGCAGCTTCCTGAGGAGGAGGCCAAGCTGACAACAAGATAAGACCAGGAGGACCGGGGGTTTAGCTCCGTGGCTCCATGCCTGCCTCACAAGAGCAAAGCCCTGAGTCCCATTCCTGGTATGGAGAAAAAAAAGGGGGGGATATAGAGAGGAGAGTCTGCAGGGAGATCCCTCCCCTGCCCTAGATACTCAGGCCCAGAAACTTGCTGCTGAGGAAAAATGACATCAGTAGAGGTCTCCATTGCCCTCTCTTGGGATCTCTGTCCACTCTCCAGGTTTCTGTTCTCTTTTGTTTTTTTTTTTTTTTTTTTTCAAAACAGGTCTCAGTATGTAGCCCAGTCTGGCCTTGAACTCACAGAGATCCTCCTGCCTCAGCCTCCTAGGTGCTGGGATCACAGGTGTGCATCACCATGCCCAGTGCTCTTATGTCCTTTTGGTTCTCTCTTATCTTCCCAATGTGCAACTGAGGAAACTGAGGCTCAGAAAGCAAAAGTGACATGGCCAAGGTCATGCCTGAGAATCACTATGGGGCCTGATCCTTTCCTGGCTCTCAGCACTGTCCCAACAAGGACCTGACTCCGACTCCTCCTCCTCCTGCACCCCCTCCCCTTCGTCCTTGTCCTAACTCTCCCTGGGCTCCTGTCTGTTTTCTGGTCCAAAAGAGTTCTCCACCTACACCAGCATCACTCATCTCCAGGAAAATCTGCAGCTTCTGCCCTGGCTTTCCCCAGGGAAAACCAATCTGGGTTGAAATGATAGTCTCATGTGCAGTCATAGATCCCTCGCTCCTCAGCTGGGCCTCAGTTTCCCAGCTTGGTGTGGAGAGTTATATGGGACCTATGCTGTGTCCACCCTCCCAGCCACCAAAGGAAACATCCCCAACCTGCTTTGGCGGACCGCCCTGGCCAGGGCTCTGAGTTCTGGGGTCTCTGGGCCCCTGGGGCCTCTCCGAGAGATGAGGGCAAGGCTGTGATGGACACAGAAACCCAGACCCAGAGGAGCGGCTGAGAAACAGAGCCTGAGGGAGGGGCCGGAGCAGCTCATCCCTCTGCTGCTGCCCCCCAGCCCCCGCCGTCTGCACATCTCTCCCGCTAGCTCTCCTGACTTCGCACTGATGTATTTTGAGAAACTCGTGAAAGGAGGCGAGAAAAAAGGGTGGGGAGGGGATGGGAAATTGGAAAAAGAGGGGTGAAGTTATCTCCGCTCCCCTCCCCCACCCTCACACCGCGCCCCCCCACCTCCTTCCCAGCCATCCTGTCTCCCGTGTTACTAGGGGTGGGGTAACTTGGGAGCTAGCGGGTGTTCTGCAGCAAGCAGGACTCACGTTAGACTTAGGAAAGGACTTCGGTGGCCTAGTGAGATGGCCCGAGGATTCCCCCAAGGTGGGGTCAGGGCAGTGGGACAGGGCACAGGGTTGGAAGGCAGGGCGGCAGGGGCTTGGCGCTGACGAGGCCATCTCCTCTCCACTCTGCGGCCAGATATTTTTAGGCTTTTCCGCAGCTGAGTAATTTTTCTGACTGGAAGCCAGAGCTGGGGTTGGGGGTGAGAGATGGGGTGGTGTCCAGACTACCTGTGAGGGACACCCAGGTCGTTGGGGTCATTGCCCTGGGTGGGAGGAAGCCCCTACAGCTCTAGCCTGCATCCTCTGGGACGTCTGTCCTGTTTCACGGGCCTAATTTTTCACACTGCAACTCCCTTCCCCCACCCCGGGACCCAGGACACCCTGGCTTCTTCCTCCCAGCTTAACCCCCCTCAAGGACAAGGGCCAATGGGCCCCAATCCGCTTTAGCTGCAGATTAAACGCCCTGACAGACAGAAATTCAGGAAGACCCAGGATGAAGGCAGCAACCCAGAGAGAGCCGCAGAGATCAGAGACAGAGGGGGACCGAGTCCCCAAGAAATGGGCCTCAGAGAAGAGGAGGTGGGCAGAGGTTCCCGGCAAAGGCTGATAGAAATTTAGTGGCAGTGTTGACCAGAGAGCCGGAGGGTGGGACAGAGATCCGGGACAGGGGACGAAGACCCAGAAAAGAGGCTGAACCCCAGAGATGGGGGGAAAGGACATCCAGAGACAGGGGTGCAAAGGTCCGGAGGGGGCGCAGGAGACCCAGACAGGCGAACAGAGACAGGAGGAGGAATGTCCAGTTCAGAGCCAGAGCGAGCCCGAGCGGGAAGCTGCAGAAAACTGAGCGACCCTGGCCAGAGCGGACGAGGACCGCACCGTCGGACGCGAGCGAAAGAGCGGGCGGA